GTCTTAAGTAAAAAGAGAGAGATGGACAGGGAGGGAGAACTTGGGGTGTCTTTTTCCCCTCACGTCTATAGTTCAGTTACCCTTTGAAATGCTTTTTCATGGAGGTTACCCCTAGTTAAAGTTCATTCAAACAGTAAAGAAGGTGGTGGTGTCTGGTGGTGAAAGAAGTTCCATGCTGTTTGTTCTCACGTCTGTTTGCTGAAATGCAGATTTTCCTTGGTTTCATCAATATTATTTGGGGGGAGGGTGGGGCAATTCATAACTTTACATATAACATTGCTATATACATTCTATCATGATATTATCTACCAGTAAGTTATTAGTTTTCAAATGATACGCTACAAGGCATATTTTGTACAAAGATTATTACAGTAGGGTGTGAATACAGGGATGCATTCCATCACAGTGAGAAAGAGAAACTGATGGAGAAACCCACTTGGGGGAGAAGTGACTGAATTATTCCTTCTCCCTGCACTGAGAAGGGAAAAGGGAGGGTGTTTTGAATGATTGCCTCACCAGTGGGGGTGGAGGATATTTGAGTGACTGCTTGATGTGGACGAGTCCTAGGGTCTGTGACCCTTTGACTTGTTGGGCCAGGGGTTTGAATGCCCCCTGACCAGTTCGTGTTTAACAACCACTCCCTACTTGACTAGGTGCCCAGTATAGCAGTTCCTCGCCTTCTCCCTTCTGTTGATTTCTATGAACTGTGGGTCTAGAGCAGAGAGTGACCTATATAATAAGAGTTATATACCCAGTTATAAGAGGTCTTGGGTTGGAGGAAATTGGTGTACAGAAAGGGAGGAGAGGAGTCCCTGTCCCAGCCCTTACACCCCGGTCTACACTTTTCACTGTGTAGTTTCATTAGCTGTATCTTCATGCGTGGTGTTGTCTTCCTTAGCTGTGCCTCATGTGAGTCTAGCAGGAAGACTCATACAAACTAGATTGGGCATGTGCAGCAAATGTTTTTTGAAGCCCTATGACTCAGTCAAATCAAAACTAATTTTCTCTGGACCACTCAAATGGGATCAGGATGGGGTTGTACTTGAGTGGCTAGCCCAAGCGGCTGCCTGTGCTACCATGGCCACACTGCTATATTTAGTGCACTATCTTGAGCAGAGCTCACCTGTGTCTGTCTGCCTGAGCTGAGAATTACACTATCCTGCTGCAGTGTAGATATAGTCTCAAAGGCCCTTCGATATGGGCTGTTTCCCTGCTAATTTCAGCTTTCAATCCTCTGCCATTTTGGCTGTAAAGTGGTTCAAGAAAAGGTCACAAGGAGGGGAAATACTTTTTACCCAATCTTTCCTTTACTCAGAAATCTTAGTTTGTTGTAGAGAAATAAATGACTGGATTTGCAGAATCTGTATGTGAGGAAAGGCAAGAAGAAGAGTCAAAGATGATGCCAGTGATGTGAACTCGGAAGATAGGAAACATATTAATGGTTTTGAAAGGCAAAATAAACTCAGTGTTCGGACCAAATTAGTCCTGGTGAAACCCCACCAAGTCAGTGATCTTGGATCAGAAATGCATTTGGCCTATTGACTTTTCAGTGGCTATGAGATTTCCAAGGGGAGAATATAGGCAATAGGTGGAGAAGTGGAACTGGACTGACAGTAATAGTTTGGGGATGAGAGGTAAATTTGGGAAACAACAGCGTGGAGGTGATACCGAACCCAGGAGAGTCATTGAATATAGTTATCCAAAGGAGAAAATGTAAAGGGAAAATAAGAGAGACCTGGAGGACTCTGACAGAGAAAGGAGTATGTGAAGGCCCTAGATGGAGAAGTCAAAAATGTAAGAGGATACCAAAAAAGTGGAGAACAATGGAAGCCCTGTTTCATAGATTTGTAATGTCTAAAGGCAGAAGGGACCACTGTAATCAACTAGTCCGATCTCCTGTACATCACAGGCAATAAGACTTCCTTGAATTAATTCCTATTTGAACTAAACCATATCTTTTTGAAAAACATCCAATCTTGATTTAAACATTTCCATTGATGGAAAATCCACCAGAGCCAGAGTTGTTCCAATAGTAAATTACCCTCACTGTTAAAAACATGTGCCTTACTTCTAATCCAAGTTTGTCTAGCTTCATCGTCCGCCATTGGAACTTTATATATCTTTGTTCTACTGTGTCTGAAATGGCAGGGGCCAAGGATAATGATGATGGAGAAGAGACCCATTAGAAATGGCTAAAGGAGAGAGTAGTTAGGGATATAGGTGACAGAGATTACTCTGAAGTGAGTGAAGCTCATACTGTAGAGGGTCAAAGAGAGAACTGGAGGAAGGGAAATGGAGGGCAGAGAAGTAAACTGCTCACATGAGGTTAGAGGTGAAGGAGAGGAGGGATATGGGTATTAAAGAGACAGGTGGTGTCAAAAGGATATTTTGGGATTGGAGATATAATTGCATGTTTGGAGGTAGAGGGGAGAAAACCAGAGGAGAGATTTTAGGATAAGAAAATGACTGGGAGTGGACAAGACTGAGGACACACGTTATGGAATTGGAGACTGGAGAGGGACAGAATAAAAGAAATTGGATTCCAAGACAGAAATTCAGGAGGGGAGGGAGAGGAGAATGAAGAAATAGAGAGGTCCTGCCAGATGGTATTGACTTTGGCTTGGATGATGATGGCAAAGTGAGGTTACATATTTCTGGCTCTGAGCATGCCGTCTCTCTCAAAGCACTCAGCTTGTTAATGTGCAACCACAAGTCCTGACTCCAGCATCACTAGCATAGATTTATAGTTGATAAATGTGCCTATACACTGTGGTGCTAATGGCATCTTTGGTTCAAAACACCACCTGCAGGTTCCAACTATCACAGCACCTTCTGGAGGTTGTGCTACTTGGTGGCTTCCACTCAAGTGATGCTAGGAATTTGACTCCTCCTTGGGGTTTCTTGAGGATCAGCGGGTGCCTCTTTGTCAGTGGCTACCTGAAGCTGGGCAGAATTTCAATGTCTGTGAGTACTGACTCAAAGATCAGGGCCAGAAGGGCACAGCCTAGCTAGATATTGTTCCCGAACTTTGGTTTATTTGTTTCATTCATTCATTCATTCATTAATATCCATCTATTTAATCGATGGATATTTGTGAGGCTCAGGACAGGAGAAAGAGAATTAGTTTCTCTTTGGAGAAGAAAATGTATCATTAAAATACCAAAAAAAAAAATGGAGCAGGTTCATTTAAAAAATATATTATATTCTGCTATCCTACTTCTTTGTTCCTCTGTATTTTGTAATGGATCCCAAAGCAAAATGTCGCTAAGGTCAAAGAGCATGGGAGCTCACTACTGGGTTTGTTCCAATGATTTGTGTCTGGATCTGGAGGGCATATGGGGCCTGTTGGCTCTAACAACATTTTGCCAACGGAAATATTGTAAAATTGGCAATTAACAAGTTGTTTGCAGCGTTGTAGTGGTTTTGGTCCCAGGATATGAGACAAGGTGCATGAGGTAATACTTTTTATTGGGCCAACTTCTGTTGGCAGAAGAGACAAACATTTGAACCGCACAGAGATTTTCTAAGAAGTTGGTCTAATAAAAGATATTACCTCACCCATCTTCTCTCTGTCTCAGTTAATGAGTCGTCTAAAGCTTTAGACAGTTGATGCATACCAAAGGCTTAATCCTTCACCATTCAAATGAATGGGAGTTTTTCCATTGACTTAAATGGGAGCAGGATCAAGTCCCATTAGAGCTTGTCAAATAGTGTTATTACTGATAACATTAACAATTAATTTATATTTCAGTAGTGCCTAAGAGTCCCAGTTATAGACCGGGACCTCATTGTGCTATGTACTGTACATACAGACAGTTCCCGCCTTAAGGCACTTACAACGTCCGTTGAACAAATTAACAGAAACGTTTTACCAATATTTTCAAATAGATTATGCAATAGGTATATATTTGCACAATCTAGTTACTAAAACTCTAGATACTAAAAGATACTTTTTAAATGAGACAAAATTATCATTTCTCTCAAAATATTTTATTATATTAGGGTTGAAAGAGACCTCAGGAGGTCTTTCAAGGTCTTTCAAATTTTCAAGGATTATTTTTTCTGTAACGGGAGCATCTCTTTCAGATGACCCAGATATGAAGCAAGATGTTTTGAATCCATCTAATATTGTACAAACTACCAAGAATGACTCTTTCTTACCAATTTTATACCCCTTTATTGCTACATCTCCAGTAAGCTCAAGAGTAAATGTATGAGCACAGATTTATCATGTGTTTTTTTTCTTGCTGCTATTTTTAAATACAGCACATAGTCCTGACTGAAATTTTTTTGAACAAAAAGACTTTCACGGAAAATATTACCTTGTTTTGAAAATGAAATGTGTCCCAAAAAACTTCACTTTTTTGAAACTTTTCATTTTTTGCAGAATGTTTTATGATTTTTTTTCAGTATTTTTTTTTATTAAAAGGGTTACCGAAAACATGATGGAAATGGTTATCAAAACTTTTATTTCATACAAATCATTATTGTAAATGATGTAATTTTTATTTACAAAATTTTGGAAACACTGATAACCATTTTTAAAATGTTTTGGATAAATGTTTTGAGTTAAAAAATCACAAATAATTGAAAGAAGGAAGGAAGGAAAAGGGGTCTGTTTTGAACCCAGTGAAAGGGGAACACTTTTGATATTTTTTGTGATTTATTTTTTTTCATGTTTGAAACAGATCTAACATGATTTAATATGTTGAAATAAATTGAATTTTATATGAAAGTATACATTTGTAATTAAATGTTGCAGGCATACTCTGTTTAGTGTATTATACAAGTTAAACGTTTTTTAATGAGTATTTTAATGCATTGATTTCAGATGCAGAATAGAACAGGAAACATACAGTATTGTATTGAATTTTAATCCAGAGTTGCTTCCTGCTGAGATGGGACCTCATTTTCTTCAGCTAGCTTAATATCATTTTAATAAGAGGTTAGCTTAATATATTCTGGGATTTTTCTCACTCCATTCACTTATGTTTTTTCAGGATCCCTTTGAAGCATTTCACATTGATAAGGGGCTGGTGAGAAAGCATATGAGCTCATTGCAGATCGGGGAGCTGGCCCTGGATCAACCAAGCTTTGAGCCCACCAAAAATGTGAGTTTGTACAAAAGGCCAGAAACACAACTGGATCTGGAATTGGGAGGATGCTCTGAGAAAATGCAAATCCACATTTCATTCATGTACAGTCTGTCAGAACCCCCAATATACTTAACATTGCATATGGAAACCAGAGTGTCTGGTGGAGGAGGGCTGAAGAAACATTGGCTGTGAGTTTCCCCTGGTGTCCTAGTGACCCACACTGGGAATGGCAAGTCCAGTCTCTCACAGACTTCTGCCCAATACACAATTCCCACAGTGAATCCCACATAGCAGCGACAGTAGGGAAGAATGTGTCAGCCACAGGATCTCCCCAGTGGTACAACGACTGTCAATGGGGTTGACAGAGCCTGTCAGCTGTTCCCTAGTGTTGCAATGTCTCTTTTCAGAGGGAATAGAACCTGTTGGTAAAATGTTTCCTTCACTGCCATGATGGCTTCTCTGCAGAGCAGGAGCAGAGTAAACCTGCCAGCTCCTTAGGCTGTTGTTTTGCCAACCCAGAGTGAAGAATGCTATAACATTGGGTCTCCCCACAGAAATTGCTGGTAGAGGACTTCCGGGAGCTGCACACCACTGTTGAAAGGATGGGACTCCTCAACCCCAACCACCTCTTCTTCTTCCTGCTTCTCCTGCACATTCTGATGCTGGATGTTGCTGGATGGTTTGTTCTTTGGTATTTTGGGACATCTTTAGTGCCTTTCCTCATCTCTACAGTGCTGCTGACTATTTCTCAGGTAAATTCCTCAACCCACAGAATGTAGTTTGGGACCAGCTTACCCTTCCTCACACTCAGGGCCAGTTACATATTCCTATTATATGGCCATCCCTCTTATCTTTGCTGTGACTAGTCACCTGACTAGCAGGATGCTCTTTCTTCACCTGAGGTTGTATCCGTACCAAAGATAAAAGGTTCAGATAGAGGTACTCAGAGGACTGTTGGAATACTGATTTGGGGGAGTTCAGTTACTGGAGTTCTTGTCTTGCCCAACCAGAGGCACCTTAGAAAATGTCGTAGGAGTGATGGATGTGGGGAGCTCACAATTTCTCAAGTCCTCAGCCTCATCCAGCGGGTGGAGGTACAGTCAGGGCCAGTTCTAGGTTTTTTTTGCTGCCCCAAGCAAAAACATTTTTGGCCACCCCCCACCCCACCCCTGGGCTCTCACCCCCACCTCACCTCGCACCTCCTGCTGCCCCAGCCTGGGTTTTCCACCCCACCCGCACCCCTGCCACCCCAGCCCTGGGCTCCCCCCACCAGTGCTGACTCCACCCTCGCCTCCAGCCGGTCCGGCGCCGGCAGGGTCGGGGTAGGCAGCGGGGCTCCCGGGCCGCGCCTCAGCCCAGGATCCCTCCAGCCGGGGCTCCTGCCTCCAGGACCATCCGGGACCCGGGAGGGCAGAGCCAGGGGACTGCCCTGGCAGGGGGCTGAGGAGCCAGGGCAGGGTAGCCCCAGAGGGAGCGGAGCCCCGGAGAGCGGGACGCGGGCCCCACACGGCAGTGCCCCGCCCTCTATGGTCCTGCTGCTCCTGCTTCTGGCTGCCCTGCCACAGTCCTTGGGCAGCTTGGCCGCTTCGCCCAGCCCCAGCTGCAGTGCTGGGGGGCAGCTGCCCTGCGGCATCTGCAGGCAGCTCCGTGTGCCCCAAGGGGCGGCCCCCAGCCCGAGTGTCCCCCCGCTAGGAGCCTGCCTGGCCCAGCTACAAGGTGTGGGCGCTGCTCCCCCATGGCACCAACTGCAGTGGCCCCAGGGTGACGCACTGCTGCTGCTGCCAGGGGCGGCTCTAGGCTTTTGCCACCCGAAGCAAAAAAAGGAGGGTGGGGGGGAAAAGACGGCCAGAATGCCACCCTTGAAAATGTGCCACCCCAAGCACGTGTTTGGTTTGCTGATATCTAGAGCCGGCCCTGGGTACAGTAGGCAATAATGCAGAAACGCAGTTTCTAAGGGGCTCACAGCAGTTCTAGTCACAGCTTCTCCCAGAAGTCTGTGTAAATAAGTTAGCCTAAGGTAGAGATGCTGCATCTAGTGAACTCAACCCTGTGGAATGTTTGGTTTTGTTTGTTTTATTCTGACTGAGTGAATGAAGTCAGAACAGTCAGTACATCTCCTTCCTATAATCTGCTAGACAACCTCACTCCACGCAGTCGCCATCTTATTAAAAAAAATGGTTTGCTTCTGATCTTTGATCTTTTGAATCTGAACTTTGAGACACATTCTGTGTATGAACCAAGCTTTTTCTTGTGTCCCAAATGGGAGCATGAGTTGCCCTAGAGCTGAGGACACAGAAGCACCGAAAGACACAGTTGCCTGGTTGGTCCTTTGGCATTACTAATGCTCAGAGGAGATGGCAGCAAACCAGAGGAGGGTTCTTCTCAAAGGAAGGGTACTCGTCTACAGAGTTCAAACTACTGCTATAGATTTAGCTCCAGTCTTAGTTCATAACCCTCCCTTGATCCACTACTCTCTTCCCACCAAAGTAGCTGGTAGTGTGAAAAAAAATGCTTTACTGATACCAGGAACACATGTTTTTACCAATCTGGGGTCGATTGCTCTGATAGTGAAAATTGAGCGAGTGCCCTAGAGTTCACTGAATGGAGTCTCAACAAATTGCAGGCAGGGGACACTGCACACAGAGGGGTACCTTAGGACAGAGTATATTGACAATACAAAAGGTTTCCTTCATACCAGCAGAGGGCATTCTCATCAGGTTGGCTTGCACTGACTGTACAGGGAGAGAACATCCCTCTAGAGAATGGACAGATATCTCCCTGGTACTAGGAAGAGAAGGTCTCATTGAGTTGGGGAGCACTGACCTCCCAGTTTTCATGGAATCGGTAGGACTGAGCATACCACCGCCCTGGCCCTGATGCAGCTGTGTACTAAAACCTGGCCCTGCTTGTTGAATGATCTCTATTCTTTTTCAGTCCCAGGCTGGTTTTCTGCAGCACGATTTGGGGCACCTTTCAGTTTTCAGCAGTACCAAATGGAACCACTTGGTTCACGAGTTTGTGATGAGCCATCTGAAGGTAAGTGCCTGATACTGAGGGTGTTCACCCCACTTTGGCAGAACTGATCAAGCATTGGGGGGGGGGTCCCCTTTCAGTTCAGATAGCATTACGCTGACATTCTGCACTCTACATGTAATTAGAAGAATGTAGTGCAGCACTGGGAAGACGGTCAATATGTGACCGATGAGGTGATTTAATATTTGGTAGTGTTGTAGTCTGATTCCTGTGCTCTCCTCATTTCCTGCAGGGGCTTTCAGCACAGTGGTGGACTCTCCACCATTCCCAGCACCATGCCAAGCCCAACTGCTTCCATAAGGACCCTGATATTGCAATGCATCCCTTCTTGTTTGCTTTGGGAAAGATACTCTCTGTGGAGGTGAGTGTGGGGGTGGGCTAGGAATTATTTAGACCACTGAAAGATATAATGCTAAAAGAAATCAGGAGGCTGTATGTTTGGGAACAAGCTAATCCCTGGATCTTGCAAGGGGCAAGGAGGGAATACAGATCTGCTGCCTGAAATCTCTTTGGGTTCTATCAGAAACAGAAAAAGGAAGAGCGAAACAGATAATAGAAGATGAAAGGAAAACAGCGAGAGCAAAAGGCAACAAGCAAATGAGGGAGAGCTTTTGTTGTGGCCTACATTTGCCTATCTCAAATAGGTGTATGACACATCAGAATGGGCTGATTCTCACCCCTGTCCCCTTAAGAGATCAGATTAATTTTCCTTTCCCACTTCCTTGCTGTGACATGCCCAGAGTATAATCTAGACTGATGAACAGATGTGTCACTTCAGCCCTCTCTCCTGGGGTGCCCTTTAGACTGTTTTGCTGCAGTAGTTACCACTCCCGATGTGCTCTCACACAGCCTTCAGAATGTAAGTCAATCCCAGCTATATAGTGTGAGTGCTGCAGCAGGCACTCTTGAACCACACCGCAGGGTGACACTAGCACACTCCCAATCCCAGGCTTTTCCCAGAAATGTACGTCTAGTACTGCCCAGCTTTCTCCTGGACAATACAAGTTCATAGAAAGTCTGTCATTTTATTACTAGAAAATGATGTGCACAAATCCTGTTATCTCAAATGGAGTTTCCCAAACACATCAGTTTAGATAAAACAATAAAACAAGTTTATTAAATACAAAGAGATTTTAAGTGAACACAAGTAATGAGGCATAAAAGTCAGAGTTGGTTACAAGTAAAATAAAGGTAAAATGCAACTGATGCCTAACTTAACAAACAAGTAAATTGAAAGCAAAGTCTCTCTCACCACATGCTTCAGCAGTTCTATTGGCTGAACTTCTTTCAGTTAGGATCCCTCCCATAGTCCAGTGCTGCTTCCTTTGTTCTTCAGATGGTGTGAATGCCGTGGGCAGAGCAAGGGGAAAGATCATTTGGGGCATCCCGCTTTTCTTTTTATAGTCCTCTCCTTCCTTTGAGAAGCTTCTCCAGCTGGGAGCAGGGCATCAGGCACTCTCCCTGGACAGGAACTTTGTTGTTTCTTTGCTAAGATGCAGACCCTTGCCCATGTTCCTTTCCTGCCAATGAACAGCCACCTAGCAAACGATGATCCACGCACTACTTTGAGATACTCAAATAACTGACTGCTAAAAATGCCCTCTTCTATCTATATGACTGGTCAGAATGTGTACCCAGACCTATCATACACTGGTTTGTCCATAGTGATCCATACATTTATGAACTTCACGCTTGATTATTGCAATTCATCGTATCTATGAATAAACCACAGACCCCGCAAAAAGCTCCACTTGGTTCAGGATACAGAAGCTGCCTACTCATCAGCCAAGGCCTTTGAGAGCACATTGCCCCTGTGCTCCTCTCTCTGCGTTGGCTCTCCAGGTAATACAGAATGATTTGCGGAGTTTTGGTCCCAATATTCAAAGCTCTCCAGGGATTAGCTCAGTTACCTGAGAATCTTTTCCTTCTGTGACTACGACTACTCACTACTGCTATGTTCCTGTGGTACAATGGAACTGTCAGCTTCAAGGATGAGATTATTGACCATTGGAGACAGAACTCTCACCCCTGGAACATGTGAGGATGACAAATCTCACTATCTTCAGGACAAAGTGCAGCACTCAGTTCTATGGTTTAGCCTTCCCACAATAAAAAGAAGTTCATAAAAATATGGGCTTAGTATAAAAATCAAGACCGATAGTATTCAAGCAGTGATGTCTCCTGGTGCTTCACCACTGTGACAAAAGCAGCTCTGTGGATCACTTGGCTGTGTTCCATGTGCCACAATCTAACACCCGCTGTATTAGAGCTTTGCACAATGCTACTTATCGCTACCTCTCCCCCTAATAAACCAATCTAACAATTCCAGCCTAACTTCATTAACTGCTGGAGCGACATTATCACTTAACTATGACAGAACTATGCTTTATATATTTCCTATAACACATGTGTGTGTATATTACTGACATTTTTAGAGACCAAGGGTACATCTGCATGCTTCCCAGCATGGGCTGACAGACATGCGTTAACTCTGCTTGAACTAGTGCATGAAAAATAGCAGTGTAGTCAGTGTAGCACAGGCAGCAGCTGCCTGAGTACAAACCCACCTGAACCCCCTAGGTACTTGGGCAGCTTGCCCGAGCTACCACAGCGCACAGCAACATTGCTATTTTTAGCTTGCTGCTTGAGCACAGCTAGTGCATGTCTGTCTGCCTGCACTGAGAAGCTCGCTCCCAGCCGCAGTGTAGTGGTACCCATATTAACCCAAAAGAAGATCAAGAGTCTATTCTTAGCAGCAGGAGGAAAGATCTGCCAATACCCACTATTGCCATTAATCATGATGAGCCATCTGAGATTTGCACATGGAGGGTCACTTCACATTTGATTCTCACTTACTTCACATGGAAGAGTGGGGAAATCGGCCACCTCTGCAGCTACACATGGGTCCTGAGATCAGTAGGTGAAGTCAGGTACAGCATTGTGCTAGCAACTTTGCAGGGAAAGTGGTGGGCAGATACTGCATTAACTTATTCATGGAGCCCCCTCTGTGCAGAAATGGTGGTCTTTCTTCTAGAAAACTTGTGTGGAGTTGGGGCAGGTACCCCACAGCTAGCGTGGAGGCGCAAGGCCTTAGCACACATGGTGATAGCTGCCAGCAGATCTCCAATATCCACAATTTCTGAACCTCCAGTTTCTTCTGGAGGGATGGTGAACCATGTATCACAACTGGAATCTTGTGGAGTATTCCTCCCAATTGGAGGCCCTCCTTCAGGTTTTTCCATAGGAGGAACCATCTCGACTTGTATCTGGAAGGTCTTCTACTAGAATATGCTCCTTAGACAGAAGACAATTTTGGGTGTAAAGTTTCTGGACTGGTATGTCACTGACATTAAGTATGCAAGAGTGGGGGGGGAAAATTACAAGATGCTACACATATGTATTTGAGATTGTAGGGAAAATGTTTATTATATTGCATTGTTTGTGAAATAGTATATAATGATGTAATGAGGCCTCTTCTGATCTCCCTTACGCTGTTGTAATTCAATGGATTTAGATGTCTGAGCAGGTGTATCTCGAGGAGGAGGAGGCAATGAAATTTATTTGAGTGAGTGTTTCTCTAGCTCAGCTGACCTGCCATGACCCCCTCTTTTTTACAGCTCGGCATGAAGAAGAAGAAGTTTATGCCTTACAATCATCAGCACAAGTATTTCTTCGTCAGTGAGTATACCTGCTTTGCCCAATCGGTCCTGTCTAACAATCACCACTGACTCCTATATTAAATAATCCCAGGGGCTGAGAGGACTTCTCTCCCATGACAGTCTTATAGGAGATTACAGTGTTTGGGGTACACAATCTATGGCTGAAATTGTTACCTCATTTGCTAAAGCAGCTGACACAAAGCAATGGCAAAAAGGTGAAAGGAAAGAGGAGAGATGAGGATAATTGAGGAGAAGGAGATAAGATGAGAGGGACAGATGAAAGGAAACTGAGGAGTAGTCATGGAGGAGAGGAGATGAGGGGGATGGAAGGAGAATCCATCTATTCCCTACCGTCACTATGCTATCTGAGCACCTTATCAATGCAAATGTTATAAATCCATTATTACAGACAAATGTAGCTCTAATGCAAGGTGGCGATTATGGAGAGTGAGGTGGTCTGTCAGGGAGATGGGAACAATACAATGGAGGGCTTTAAAGATCAGGATCAAAACCTTGAACTTCATTCAGTATTTGACAGGGAGTCGGCATGTGTAGTGCCAGAGTCATGCACTGTCCATGGTCTGTGTTGATATGTGTGTGTGGGTTGCTGCATTTTGAGCCAGCTGGAACACTTTACAGGATATTGCTCTCATTCTGATATATTGCATTACAGGAGTCAAGCCTGGAGGTCATGAAAATGTGGATCATCATGATCAAGTCTAAATCTGACAGAAAGGAGTCCAGTGGATAGAAGAGAGCAATTTCACTGCTGTAGCTATTTGGGTATTCAGAAGCATTGATGAGTTCAGAAAGATGGTGTGTAGCATCAGGTTCACCTATTGACTTTCAGGTGCAGGGAGATGGTATGATTTGCATTTAGTTGGAGGCAGGTGCAGATTTGAGAGTCGTCTATGCTTTGCTGGCCTCTGAATCTATAAAATGGAGGGAGAAAGGAAGGGTAGTAAAGAGGAGAGTAAGGAAGGAAGATGAGGAGCGAAATCTCTTGGGAAGCATAGCTCAGTGATGAGCACTGGAAAGCCCCGGAGCTGCACAGAGCTCTCCTTTCATTCTGGTTTCCAGGGTGTTCATTAACTAGGTGAGGCTGTTAATGTCTCTGATCTTCTTGTTTTCTTCTCCAGCTATGCCCCTGCTTGTGGTTCCAGTGTTCCAGTTGTACTCCTTGTACTTCATATTCCAGCGCAAACTATGGAGGGTAAGTGCACTCAGTATTTCCCACAAACCTTTGCAAATGGGCAGCTGCTCTTCTAACTGAGGAAGTTTTAGGACCGGGCCCTTGTTTGTCTAGAATGGTGAAGGAGAATTACAGCATATGGATCCAAGGCATCTTCTGGGGCTGGATTCATGTTGCTGTGAGGGGGTGAAAGGGAACTAGAATGCAGGGGCAGCCAGTGGGGCTTAGAGGATTGATTTCTTGAGCTGGATTCCTGTTACTCCAAGGTAGTTGAGGGAAGCTACAGTGCAGGAACAGTGAGTGGGCCTTTCTAGGTGAGATTTTTTTGGGCTGGGCACTCTCTGGTTTGAGGTAATGGGGGAAATCCACAATACACGGACCATTAGTGCAGGTTATAAGGAAACTTCCCAAGTTATGTCCTCACTGATGTGGGAGAATTGAGCGGAGCTGCAAGGGATAGACATGGAGTGATCCTTACATGGGGGGATTTGGGGCTTCTATTCCTCCCATTGAGGGATGGTGGAGGGATACTGTTCTGCTGTAAACTGCTGTCCTGATGAAGGTTTCTCTCCTTCTGTCTCACAGGAACTAGCTTGGACTCTGACCTACTTCATCCGATTCTTTCTTTTCTTCGAGCCCTTACTGGGAGTAACGGGTGTCCTGGGATTCCTCCTGCTACTCAAGTAATCCTCACTCTAGGCATGACTCCCTCTGCCTACTGATACTCACACCTGACTGACTGACCCCTCTTCTCTGCCCTCATCGCTCATTCCTTCCCATCTGTGATTGCTTCTAGCCACTCTGCTTTTCTCCCTTTTCCATCATTGATTTCTCTCTTATAAGAGTACAAATTATGTTTCCATACATTGCCCTCACTTTTGTCGGGGCCTTTTACTGACGACTCACTGGGTGGAACATAAGAGAGAAGTTATACTTGGTAGCCACTCATTCTGGTGGGTCTGAGGGGGCCTTTTACTAGCCAGAAAGCACTTTACCAGGCAGACATTGGGTTGGGATTGCAGGCCTGTTACTGGCCATTGCCAGTTTGCATGGGCATTTTACTGAGCAGTCAGTGCTTTGGGTGAGGTGGCCAGTTACTTATCTGTTGCCAGTTTGGACTGGGGTCTTATCTGGCAACCTTTGGCTTGGGTGCAAGTTACTGGGCAGTTCTTGGGCTGGCTTGATGTGTGGGTCTCCATCTGCTGTGACTATATGTGGCAATGACTGCTTTGTCTGTATCTGCATAGCGTCCTAGAGAGTATCTTGTTTACCTGGATATCACAATTGAACCACATCCCTATGCACATTGATTATGATAACAATATGGACTGGTTCTCTACACAGGTAAGAGACACTCTTTTACCAGGGTCTGTGGGTATGAAGCCCAGGGCAGGGACACTGGGAGCATACATGAAATTTTGCAGTGGGGATAAAGCTCAACCAGGAGCTCCTGAATGATGAGATATTGGGAGAGGAAACTTGTGATCATCTGTGTGGGGTGGTGGGGAATGAAGCCTGGACTAATTGGGGGTTACATGGAGACTGCATTGATGTAAAAACCAGAATGAGAACATATAGATATGGAAGCAAAGAGAATGGTAGGTAAAAGCTGCCTGATCCAGGGCACTCACATACAGTTCTCCCTGCATAAGAGGCTCTGATATTCTTCTCCTTTCTGTTTCCTTGACCTTGTAGCCATTTTTCCCCAATAGAAGATATGAGATAAGGAGTGGGAGGACAGGTCTATGCCGGTCCAACTGACGAGGCCATGTCACTCCAACCGAGTGAGGACCTGATTAATGCAGTAACTATTCCATATCCTAGCATGCCATTCTCACCCAGACCTGGTCTCCCTGTTCTAATGAACAAGGAACTGTAATCCCCACACCACCCCCAGGCAACCCTGCTCAAGTTAGAAGAAAGTGGAGGTCAGGGGTTGGTACCAATTAATCCACTTCCATAGAGCGACACTCATTTCTCTCTATTTTTCTCCCCTAGCTCCAGGCGACATGCAACGTGGATCAGTCCCTGTTCAATGACTGGTTAACTGGGCACCTGAACTTCCAAATTGAGCATCAGTGAGTATAGGTGTCAAGGCTGCTTCCCCACTTTGAACTTTAGGGTACAAATGTGGAGGCCTGCATGAAGACTTCTAAGCTTAACTACCAGCTTAGATCTGGTCCGCTGCCACCATTCCCAAAGCTAATTCCCTTCCTTGGGTAGCCTTGAGAAACCTTTCACCAGTTCCCTGGTGAATACAGATCCAAACCTCTTGGATCTTAAGACAAGGAGAAATTAACCATCCCCCTCCTTTCTCCCACCAACTCCTGGTGAATACAGTTCCAACCCCCCTGGGATCTTAAAACAAGGAGAAATTAACCATCCCCCCTCCTTCCTTTCACCAACTCCTGGTGAATACAGATCCAACCCTCTTGGATCTAAAAACAAGGAAAAATCAATCAGGTTCTTAAAAAGAAGGCTTTTAATTAAAGAAAAAGGTAAAAATCCTCTCTGTAATTCAGTATGGAAAATAACTTTACAGGGTAATC